CTGGGCGCTAAGCAGAAACAGTCGTACCTTCTCGGGGCGCACGGTGACCTTTCTACCACGCCAGTCGATCGTTTGCAGGCCCTCGCTGCTCTCTGATTTCGTTTGGCTAACAAGCACATCCAGGTTCTCCAGAACACCCTGAGCACGCAGCTCAAGAATTTCATCAATTTTGCCGCCGCTGGCCCCGCCGCTAATATTGTAGGCGCAGTAGCGTAAATTGGGCGTGAACTCATTAACCTTTGCGCGATACAGCTCCTGGTCGTCATCGGGAAGCGCCTTGGCCAAGTTTTCATACACAACCTGGGCGCGTTTTAAATGCTCACCTGCCGACTTCCACAGCTGCAGCTCAAAGTGCAGGGTACCGTGCATCCAGGCTACATATGCCTCGCACTCGAGCTTGGTGCGGGCATCGAACGCCTCCGTCTAAAATATAAAGAGAATATTAATTACTTTTATTTGATCGATAAGGCGAACAGCTCTGACATCAACAGGTAGGCACATTGACTTACATTGCATAGCTCCTGCAACTGAAGAGCATAGAAGCAGGCGCGTCGCAGCTTGTTTATCAAGTGAAAGCGCTTTCGTGGCTCTGTGTTGGCTTCTTGTTTCAGCTGCATGGCGTAGGCCCAGGCCCGCTCCGCACTGATTAGCGGTATGTGTATGAAGCGCTCATCCGCCTTTTTGCCCGTCAGCTGAGCGAGCGTTACATCGCGACGCTTAAAGTGACGCTTGTCGCCTTGGGGATACTTTAGGGCCTTGCGCAGACGACGAATGCGGCGTGTGCAGTAGCCACGATACCGTTGATAATCGCCATGTCGGAGGCCGTGCTGTTGCTGTGCATCCTTGATCATATGCAGGACTGTAATGTTAACAAAAAGATGATGATTTTACATATGCACACTTTTTTAGGTTAATTGTCATCGCAGCTCCCGTGCCGTAGGGTGCTCAGACTCACTTTCGACGGTGAAGATTTTCACTGGTTCCGGCGCAGCCGTGCCACTGTCACTTTTCTCCCCACTTTCAACATTATTTGGATTCGGCTCTTCGACGACCATTATTAATTTATCAATGCCAGCAATACACCTACAACGTGTAAATATTCACGGATTTGTAAAAAATATACGAATGCACGACGGTCGGGTCGTCAAACGTAAACGTCATCATTGTTTTCGATTCTAGTGGTGGTACTTTATTGAATAAAAGCATCGATATTTTACAAGACAATAATATTGGTAATATAAGCCCTCTGTAAGCTAATTGACAAATAGGTTTGTACAATTTATTTGTTAAAATAATTTTTTCATCATTTTGACGAAATGTTCATTTATTATATGCTTGGTTTAATTCGCATAATTCATAGTCATTCACAGTTATCGATGCTTTCGTTTTCTATTGCCTTTACCCACCGCTAAAAATTAGTATCGTGCACTCCCTTTGAAACTTGTTGGCTGACAACGCAAGAGCGTGCGTTGACGTTCTGCCTGTTTTAAATCAATTTTAGACAAGTTTGCAGGTAAATAATAAGTGAATTAGTGTATAAACATAATAACAGCATCTTGCTAGACACGGCAAATGTCACAGTGCATTTGAATTTGTGCTGATAGCACTTGTTTTGAGGTTATACTTTCACTGCACGCAACCCGAGCGCCCCATCTGTCGCCCTTCCCCTGCTCCACCCCCGCACTGCACTAGTTTTGTTTTGACGGCCGCGTTTGACATTTGCAACGTTGACAGTGCGCAGATCCGTATGAGAATTGGGAAATTTATAATTCAACAATCATTTTGCTTTTCGCAGCATGTCGCGCAGGAAGGAGCACGAGGAGACGGACAAGCAGACGCGTATTGCCATTGTCAGCGATGACAAATGCAAACCGAAGCGCTGTCGGCAGGAGTGCAAGAAGTCCTGTCCCGTGGTGCGCATGGGCAAGCTGTGCATCGAAGTGACGCCCACATCGAAGATAGCGTCGCTGTCCGAAGAGCTTTGCATCGGTTGCGGTATCTGCGTCAAGGTAGGTGGCTCCTACCATGTGGCCAGACGGAACTATTCGACAAACAGCTGTTAATCGAATTTCTTTACAGAAATGTCCCTTTGAGGCCATTACAATTATCAACTTGCCCAGCAATTTGGATAAGCACACAACGCATCGATATAGCAAAAACTCGTTCAAGCTGCATCGCTTGCCCATTCCCCGACCAGGAGAGGTTCTCGGTTTGGTGGGCCAAAACGGTATTGGCAAGTCGACGGCACTTAAAATTCTTGCTGGCAAGCAGAAACCGAATTTGGGAAAATATGCGAATCCGCCCGACTGGACCGAAATTCTGGCCTATTTCCGTGGCTCCGAGCTGCAGAACTACTTTACTAAGATATTGGAGGACAACCTAAAGGCGCTGGTTAAGCCGCAGTATGTTGATCAGATTCCTAAAGCGGTGCGCGGTTCTGTGGGCGAGCTTCTCGATAAAAAGGACGAACGTGATCTGCAAACGAAAATCTGTAACATGTTGGACCTATCACACATTCGCGATCGTGAAATTTCCCAGCTTTCTGGTGGTGAACTGCAGCGTTTTGCCATTGCCATGGTGTGCATACAGAATGCCGACATCTTCATGTTCGACGAACCGTCTTCGTATCTGGATGTCAAGCAGCGTCTGAACGCTGCCCTGACCATTCGCTCGTTGCTGCATCCTACCAAGTAAGTGTATCCTTTGGGTATTCATTAAGTCTATTACATTTTCATGCTAACTTCCACAGATTTATCATCGTTGTGGAGCACGATTTATCTGTGCTGGATTACTTGTCAGATTTCATCTGCTGTCTGTATGGCGTGCCCGGTTGCTATGGTGTTGTGACTATGCCTTTCTCGGTGCGTGAAGGCATCAACATTTTCCTGGACGGATTCGTACCCACGGAGAATATGCGTTTCCGTACGGAGTCGCTCACTTTCAAGGTATCCGAATCGGCAACGGAGGAGGAGATCAAACGTATGAATCACTACGTTTATCCATCCATGGTGAAAACGTTAGGCAAGTTCGAGTTGACCATTGAGAAGGGTCACTTCAGTGACTCTGAGATCCTGGTGTTGCTTGGCGAGAACGGTACGGGCAAGACAACGTTTATTCGCATGCTGGCTGGTAATCTGCAGCCGGACGGCGAAGTTGAGCTGCCCATGCTGAACATCTCGTATAAGCCGCAAAAAATTTCACCTAAATTCCAAAATCATGTCCGTCATTTATTGCACGACAAGATTCGCGATGCATACGTGCATCCGCAGTTCATTGCGGACGTCATGAAGCCCATGAAAATGGAAGAGATCATGGACCAGGAGGTGCAAAACCTCTCTGGTGGTGAATTGCAGCGCGTAGCTCTGGTGCTCTGTTTGGGCAAGCCAGCCGACGTCTACCTTATCGATGAGCCCTCTGCATACTTGGATTCTGAACAGCGTCTGGTCGCTGCCAAGGTTATCAAACGGTGCGTATTGCTATTTTCATGTTATTTTTTGGGGTTTCACTCATATTTTTTAATTTTGCAGGTATATTTTGCATGCGAAGAAAACAGGCTTCGTGGTAGAGCACGATTTCATTATGGCCACCTACCTCGCGGATCGAGTCATTGTTATTGAGGGTCAACCCTCAGTGAAGACCACAGCATACTCACCGCAGTCTCTGCTCAATGGTATGAATCGATTCCTCGAACTGCTGGGCATCACTTTCCGACGAGATCCCAACAACTTTAGACCGCGCATCAATAAAAATAACTCGGTCAAGGATACGGAACAGAAGCGCTGTGGACAGTTCTTCTTCCTGGAGGATGAGGCTTCGTAATGCATGTAGTTGTGTATGATTGCCGTCAGTTTTGATAGAGGACTCGGTTTTTGTCGTTCGGTTTCCATGCTATCGCGTTTTTCTTTCTAAAATTGTCTTTTTATTGCATTTTTTAAACAATGAACACATCTTTCAACATTATTTTTGTTACTTTTGTGCAGAATTACAAGCAATCGAGCATATTGGGAGTTCTTTAAAGTGAGTTTTGTACACACACCGAAAATAAACTAAACACATAAAAACAAATACAATAGGAAAAACAACTTTGTATAGTGAAAATAAATTAATTTAATTTTTAGAAAACGGCAAAATACACCGAGTTTTATTTCAAAATTGTATTCCAAATAGATCCACAGCGTTTGGCTTTGGAGCGCAACAGGTGGCCGCGCTGCGCTGTGAATGGCAAATTCTTCCAGGGATGCACAGGCAGCTTTGAAAAGCGTGCCATCACTAAATATTTGCTTGAGTATTTGGCAAATGCGCATTTATTGCACTTACTTATTAATTAGCATAGTACACTCAAAGTACGCACAATACAAATATGTAAACATTGTAAATTACAAAAGAATTTCTATGATTTCAAATACGATCACAATTCGAAACAAACACAATATTGTATCATACTAGCTATAAACATTTATAGATTTACATATATAAGCAACGGCTTAGTGATTTTCTTTTTTAATATATATATATATTTACTATTCATTTATAAACGCTTTCGAAGCATTTCATGAATGCGATTCAATCAAAATGTACAAAACACCAACTTTTCGAAAAAGGCAAATTTTTGAATTGAACAATGCTAAATTTGATCTGCGGCTTAACCGGATTTTACCATCATTAAGTACTAAAGTTAGTTAATTTGAAGACTTATTTCACTAAAATTCCATACGAGTAAATGCGTCAAAAATTGACTCAAATTGTTAAACATTTGATGATCTTATGTGCAATTTTTAAGAGAGCTTTGTTAAAGTACATTGAGAGAGAGAATGAGAGGAGATCGCATTATAATTACAATGAGAGAGCTTCCGATTAAAACTTTCATTTAAATAGATTATATGTTAATATGGACATTTAGTCAAAAATATTGGGATAGTCTGTTTCGATCCAAAATCAGATCAGTTTTTGTGTGTTTTCTGTTCTTTTCAGCAATGTTTAGAAATGGAACTTTTTAAGACTTATTCATTAGTGTTGAACTTTTATACAAAATAAGATTTGCTTGAATAGTTGATTAAAAATGGCTACAGAAAGTATCAAAAATAATTGTATATGATGTATATAAATATGGTATTAGAGAGACACAGAGACATCTGCGCAATGAGGTAGACAACAACTCATGCATTATCCACATCATTTACATGTGCCCCAACCTCCAGACTCAGTTCCACGGCCTGTTTACGCAGCTTGAACGCCTTACAATCAACAAATTATTTAATAGTCAACAATAATAATCAATACCAAGTAACTGATTTACCTGGCTTCTGAGCTCCTTTTCGCGGGTAACCAATTCATGTATTTGTGCCATGGTCGTTGCCAAATTGCGTTGATCAATCACCCAGCGTAAATAGAGTTCTTTGCATAAATACGAGACATGAATGTTTATAAAACTTTATGTCATGTTAATTTATAAACAACTCACCGCTCCACAATTCCAAGCTAATGGGCGCCACAGAGGGCCAAATAACACTGGAATTTGGCTCGTACAGCGGATTAAGCAATGTCTGTAACACATCTGGTCGATTAAGGTACGACCACAAGCTGGTGGTCCTTGTGTGCACTTGGAGCTCGTGTCGCTCCCGTTCCGAGTCGCACATAAAGGTGCCATATTGCGAGAAGTAGCTGTGCTCGAAGAGTAATATGAGCAGCTGCGTGCTGAACTCAAAGCTGCAGGGAAACTGCGTGTACAGCTGATAGATACAATCCAGAAATAGGACAAAGGTGGCGCCCGAGTTCTTGTTGCGCATCTGGTGCGGCGTGTAGCAGGAATAGCGATGCCTCGATGCGAACGGATGTCCCGCCTGGATCCACTCGCGCTCTATCAAAGCTTGCAAACTGCAGAATCCATGTAATGTATAGTAAATATATGTGATTACAGTGTACGCCCATTACTAACCCGCGCACAGTGCGACAATCTGGATTCAAAATGATTTGCACCAACGATGTAACTATCAGCGTGGAGTCAAGACCCTTTGCCCCGTGCACCAGGACTGGACTGCCTTCCTGGTCCAAGCATTGGGCTACTACGCAAGAGGCGTTCAACGAATTGAGCACCAGGCTTAGCCAGCCGCTATTCTCTAGACGCGATAGCCACTTATCCGTGCTGCAGCCAATATCATTGCAGGCCTCAATCAGTTTGGCAAAACTGTCTAGAATGGAGGCCGGGTAACTGACATTGCCGATTGCGCGATTAACCTTCTTCCACTGGGAGTAGTGCAAGTCCGTTTCAGTGTTGGATTTGCCCTTGCCCCATGTGTCCACAATAAAGCCCTTTTTACTGCGTCCCAGCACTAGATTGAGTATAGCTTCGTCGGCCCGGCAGCGCTTGATGCCCTGTATGGACAAAGGCTGTGCGCTACGCATCAGAGTAGCCTGCGTGCGGAAAAGAACAAGTTAATTCAATTAATTATCTTCAAACAGATCAAAAATTTAATTATACTAACGCCATTTTCATGCCTATAGCTGAGCAATGGGAAACGTCCGCCGTCTCGAAATGCAGCGGAGAGCGCGATTTGCTCGTCGCTAATTGCTTTAGGTACAATCAGTGTGGCGCCATATGTGGCACAGACGCCGAAGTCTTTGTTGACGTGGCTGATGCGCCACTCGCAGGCAGACACGCTGCTGCCCACCAATGCAGCTGCCGCGTCCAACCCAAAGCCATTCTGCAGCGGATGGGGTATGCTGCTGCTGCCAACAGCTGAAGTCGATGACGTACAAATTGATATATTTGCAACATTCGGCGATGAGGCACCGCCCATACTCATGCCGCTGATAAGCTGTGCGAATTCCAGCTCCGGTCTGCAATACAAATCTGTTTTAGTGGCAAATTGTATTAATTGAATATATCTAACATACCTGAACATTGTGAAGCCGTCCTCAAGTATGGAATACATGGGCCTGTAAAAGAAGGGATAGTCTAGCTCTGCGTTTTGTATTGCACTGAGCGCCTCCAATGAGGCTGCCACATTAAAAAAGTCTTTGGCATATTTGATCTCCAGTGATATAATGCGTAAATCCTTGCACTTGAGTGTAATAATGCCACCCATGACAATGTTCTGGCCCATGCTCGGCTTTTTCTCCACGCAATCGATGTTCTTGTGCAGCAGCTGGAAAATTCACAATGTAATTCAATTAACTCAGTTAATGGGCCACAGGCCAAAGGCCACTTTGCGCTTCACTGGGCTCTTACCCATAGCTCCTGCGTGTTTTCCTGACGAGCGCTGAGCAATAAATGGTGACCCGTTATGCACAGGGTGCCCTCAACTGTTGCATTTGCTGCATTCGCATGCAGGAAGACCCCATCCAATTTGGGTGTTTTTATCAGATCAGCAAACTCCATGTCATCCAGTCGCCCACCCCTTACCCAACACACAACACACAAATTATGGCTGACCACCCACCGAGCGGTGATTTTGTTCACGCTAATTAACTTTTTGCATTTTGCCTGTGGTGCTGCCGCAGCGGCTGCTGTGCTGTTGTTGTTGTTATCGTCGTTGCCACTTGATTGCTTCTTCTTCCACTACCCGCCTTTTTCCTCTTTGTTGAACTGTCAACAGCAGTGTGGGCGTTGCAATATATATAAAAGCTATGCTTACGTTACACGATTGCTGCACATGTGATAGCACTTGGTACACACACCATGAACATTTATTCTTAGTTGTGTATTAAATTGTTTGCTAAAATAGCATTTTGGTAAGTTTTGCAAACGATAACGGTGTGCTGCCATTCACAAGGAAACGCGGACACACCGCGAAGAAAGCACATACAGCCGTCAATTACGGGCGGGCAACGGCGCAGAAAAATGTTAGCCCAAATGCGCGCACAATTCAAATGAAAAACTATCGTTATAAAAAGCACAAATGATATCTATATGGAAATATTTATTTATACGTAAAAGTTAGTTTCAAAAGGTTTGTTTACAAAAAATAGGGAAGTTTTCCTTTTTTGTCTGTTCCATGGCATTGAAACCAACCACAACACTTGTCAGTATTTGTCTTTCAGGCTTATAAGTTAGGGATTCATTTGTTTCCGTTTATTTTGTATCCTTGGGATTGTGATCGAGTGAAATTGAATTTTCAAACATAATAGAAAATATGTGTATATATATTAATTAATGCGAGTACGCTTGTTTTGTAGTTCTCGAAATAAAATTGTAAATTGCTTCTCTGTTAATTGTCACAATGCGAATATATATAAATACTTAACAGCTTTAACGTACAATAAATGTATTGCAAATATACGCATCAATCAACCAACACACACTTAAAGAGAGTCTAATCTATATAATTTTGTTTTCTTTTTCGTATAAGATATCACAACTGGATGCCAAAAATTGCCTAAAGCACGAGAATGAGGTAAAAACAATTGAAAGTATATCAATAGCAGCTAGATAAAATAATAAATACAAAACAAAAATCATTGGCGATAAGTTTATTTTGTCGCTAAAAAATATGCTTTTCGATTCTTTGTACCAACAACTTAATCTACATATAATTAATAAAATTATACTAAAATTAAATGAATTTCTTAGCAACAAAAAAATGTTTTCTGGATTTAATTTTGTTTAGGTGCAATGTATGTTTTTTTTTACGTGTAGATGCACATTTTGCAATATTAGAACAGAGAAATGCACAAAGAAATTGGAATGCATAAACAAAACGAAAAGTTTTTAAAGAGGAAGACATTTATGCAATGAAGTATATAAAAAAAACAAAACTAAATATGGCAATTGACAAAAAATATGTAAGTTGGTATGTGTGTATTGTATGTATTATTAAATATAACGATTATGCAATATTGGAAGAGCTTTGGAAACAAATCGGTGGAAGTAAGTTAATAAGCTAACAAACATAATTTTGCATTAACAATTTACTTTTTGTTTTTCATTTGTGTCGTATTAAATTTAACATGAGAAATTAAATGCATTCAATAAATATTTATGTATGTATGTAAAATGGAAGTAAATTTGTTCTTAACAACGCTTGGTTTTTGTTTTGTTTGTTTGTTTGTTTGTGTGCCAGAGCTTTAAATACATATATGTAAGTATACGTGTAGCTGTATGACAGTTAAATATATAACTATATGTGTATGCGTGTGTGTGTGTGTATATATATGTAAATGTACATATGCTAGCGTATAAGTGTGTTGCTTTTGTATATAACAGTAGCACTCACACTTTGCTTGTGTGTGTGTGTGTGTGTGTGTGTGTGTGTATCGCCTAGACCAATCTTAAATATCTAATTTACTTTAGATAGTTGCAATTTGTCTACGCCTAGCATAACTGGTTTATGTATTATACATATGTATATATATATATATAATCATATAATATATATATATATATAAATATATAATATATGTATAGTATAGATTTTAAGTATGTTTAGACTTAAGCATACTTTTAGCTATATACAAAGGTTTATTTCACTACTACTCATATATATATATACGTATATATATACACATATATATGTATATCTAGATATATTAATAGATATTATAGAGCTTAATACAACTTACGAGGCTAGCTTTTAAAAATTCTTAGCAATTTTGGAGTTTTGTTTTTAAGATTTTAGCAGCTTACATAGTTATCAGTTTTTCTTTGTATGGGTATTTAGGGTTCACAAAATAAAAGTAGAAAATTTGTGTGTCGTTTAAATACAAAAGAACAATAAATAGGCTTAAACATTTAGATTTCGCTTCTTGGTTACCCCGTATAAATGTGTATAAAAATAGTTAATTAAAAGATCTTAGCTCTACACATTTTAAATCGTACAAAAAAAAAGTTGTTTAAAATTAGCACACGCTTCACGCATCTGTTGCTGTTGGAAGTGTTTCGAAGTACTTGTGTGTGTGTGTGTGTGTGAGTGTGTAAGTTCGGGGAAGTGAGTGAGTGGGAGTGTGTTTGTGTGTGTCTGTGTTTGGGGGGCAGTAGTAGAACAGTTATGCGCATTCACCGAGTCAGAACGATCGCTCTGGGTATGGCAAATACGCATAGTCTTGAACGCTAATAAATCGGCGGCGCCGGCTTCGGCAGCACGGCGGCTGTTGCTGCCACAGCTGCGGCGGGGTTTGTGGCGCTGCTGGGTGGAGCTGCCACAACACTTGATGCTGTCGACGATGGGCTGGACGATGATGCGTTGCTGCAGCTATTGTTATTGTTGTTGTTATTGTTATTATTGTGTCGCTGGTTGCGCAGCTGCTGCTGATATTGCTGCTGTTGCTGCTGGTGCGGCTGCTGCTGCTGCTGGTGTTGTTGATGCTGCTGCTGCTGCAGCTGCAGTCGCTGATTCTGGTGCTGCAAATTGTGCATAAAGTAGGCGTTCACATTCATGTTGCTGCTGTTGGTGGTTGCCGGCAGAGCGCGCACATGTTGCATTGGTGGCAGCACGGGCTGCAACTGTTGTTGTTGCTGCTGCTGCTGCTGTTGGTGATGATGCTGCAAGTTCAATTGGCCGGCGGCGCGCATCATGTGCCAGTAGTTGTCATCCCCGATCGGGGCCTGCCGACTGCCGTATTTGAGCTGTCGCGTTATGTCCTGCTTGTAGTCGCGATGATCCCGGTCGATGGCATAGGCCTTGTCCCGCAGCTTCTCAATGGTTTTCTTGAACTCGACAAATGCCTGTGGCGATTGTTGCTGCAGGGCGCTGGCCAGCGGCACCAGCGGATTGTTTTGCTGCTGTTGTTGTTGGTGCTGTGGCAGGGGCAGGGGCAGGTGCTGATGGTAGGCGAGAGGGTCGAGCAGCGCGTCCAGCAGATTCATATTGGACATGATGAGCGTGTGTATGCGCTGCAGATCAAGCGCCGGATCGAGGGCGGTTACCAAATCCATTTGAAAGTAGTCCATTTCCTTGGCGGAGACATTTTTGCAGCCGGGCGCATTCTCATCGGAGCGGCCGCAGCAGCTGTAGAAGCCGCTGATAAACGCTGAAGGATGAAAGTATTGCATCCGGATGGAGTTCATTAGGCAGATCTTATGCAGTAGGTCGAACCATTCGCGCTCCTCAACGCAGTTCGTCGTTTGTACAATAAGCGGGCGGTCTTTGTGCACGATCTGCGAACGGAATACAAAAAGCCGTGTAAATTATTTGCGTTCTTTTCACTTTCAACCTATAAAATAAACATTTGCTCGACAATCGCGCGCTCCACAGTGAAACCGCCGCAAATGACGATTCACACGAGCAAAAATCCCACGCGTGCCTCCAACGTAACCGAATTCTTTGCTTTGACGCGCGACTTCTTTAAAAGTTTTGAAATTTCCCTTTTTGTCGTCGCAAAACAGAAATGAAGCAGAATAACAATGGTTGGTAGTTGGAAACTACAGTTACCAGTAGCAGGGACAGCGTTGCCAACTCATATTCATAATAATGTTAATTATTTTTAATTGCAATCTTGTCGTTTGCATAGACGCAACGCGTCTAGATGGAAATACAAATCATAAGTGAAAGTTTATGCTGCCCTTTTGCAATTACAGCTAATTTTCTTTCCACTTAACGTGGCTAAGCAACAGTCAAAGCTAAATCGCGTTATCCATTGCGACGCAGTTTAGATATTGATACTCAAATACAATGCCGAAATAAAAAACAATTGCCAATTGAAATATTTTCTATGAAAAACTAAAAGAAAATTCGTTGAAAATGATTTGGAAAACATTAATCACAAAAAATCTAAGATAATTGCTAAACATGGTATTTAACATCAACAAAAATATTATAAAAGCTATTTGTAAAAAACTTTCATTTCGAAAAAGAGGAACAAATTTCCCTTTTGCCGCAATAAGGTCCAGCGTACCATTGAAAAGTACCAGTTTTGGTACATTTGTCATACATGTAACAACCGAGCAGATGCACACACGCACACACACACACACACATGCACTCAATTCGTTTGCATGTGGAATGGAACGAAGTGTGTGGGCTGCCTGCGCCTAATTTATTAATGAAAATGCATTTTTAAACTTGTGAATTTCCGGTATAATGTATTGGCATTTAAGATGTGCGCTTGAATGGGTATATTAGCGGTGTGCAGAGATGTCACTAAGCCGAGCATATTCTTGCAAGGCAAACAAAGTATTTACGAATCTTTCTGTTAATCTGACATGTATGTATATGCATGTACCTTGTGCCTGTTTATGTATGAGTGTTTCCCTCCATTTTTTTTTCTATTTGAAACGAAGCGTGTCTGTTCTGCTTACATCTTAAATGCTTGGTATGCTGTTCCACTTACTAAACAACCACACCAAACCATTACCAGACTTATCGATAGATTGTGATCTTTGGTTGCAACTTACCTTGAAGCAGTTTTGCATTTTGAAGCTTTTGTCTTTCAATTGCTCGACGCTTCCGATTTCCTCAAGCGGTATATCACAGATGGGTTGTTTGCCCTTCGACTTGGCATAGCTTAGCGAGTGCGTTGTCAGGCGAAAGTAACGTTGCTTAAATTGGCGTCCAAATCGTTTGCGGCATGTCGGATATTTGGTCATCATGCTGTGCGCCCAGTTAGGGGGAGAGACAGAGAGAGAGCGGGGGGAGAGACACACATAGCAAAGAAAGAAAGAGAACGAAAACAAATGAGCAAATGTTATGCATTTAATGTTTTAATATTGTTTGCAATTCAAAAGTAACAAACAAACAACAAAACAAACTAACTATAAAAGAGTTCCAAAATTAAAAGCAAATTTTCTCTTACCCCTCGCTAGACGTTAGTATTATTTTTGTATGTGCAAATGATTTAGATGCGTGTGCGTGTGCGAGTGTGCGTGTGTATGTTGTGGATGTGTGATGGGAGTTTGTTGGGCGTGATGTGATGATATGGGTTGTTGTTGTTTTATTTGATTTATTTTTTATTTTTTTTAAAGCAGCACGCGCGTAAAAGAAGAGAAAGACAAAGAAAGTTTTGGTATTAGAATAAAATAAAGCGTAATCAACCAAATGTAGTGTATACAAAATTTGGGAGAGCGAGATGGCAAGTATGGAAAACTATCGAAAGGAAGTTATTTTATTATCGATTTTAATCAACCGTTATCAATCGTTTTCCAAACCAACTTATAGATCTGACGCAATTCAAAGAACACAACTTACCCCTCCTTTAGTAATACTGGTTCTAGTGGCAACCGCGGCAGCGCCTGCAGCTGCTTGCTGGGCGTCTCACAGGCATTCGGCGTGGAGATGACCTCGAGAAAGTGCTTAACTGCATCCACGTGCTTCTCCGTGCAGAACTTCTTGTACAACTCGCCGGTGTACTCCTCCTTGCAGGGCTGCTGCGAGGACCGCGAACTGACCAAGTTGCCCAACGATTGTATCGTTTTAGAGATTAGCGTCAGCGTACGATTCGTTTGGGCATCCTGCAAATGGAGAAAGATATAAACGTTAATGGATTATATTGTTTGGGATATAACTCTGCTTACCAGTCGCTCCGTGGTCAGGTCAAAGAGCTTGGGACCCAGTATGGCGGGCGCAAAGAATCGGAGGAATATGAAACCAGAGACCACCGAGTAGCGCACCTCACGATTACGCGGAAAGTGTTTGCCCGCGCACTCGCGTAGATCGTGAAAGATCTGGCAGAGGACCTTGGGACAGCGCTCCGCACTCTTGGTGATAGCCTCGAAAACGCGCTCCACATAATCCTTGAGATTGTGCAGATTTGTGTCGACGGCCGATCGATCCTTCACCTTGCTGGGATCAATTTCGCAGGGCTTCTTCTCGGCGACAATTTGCGAAAGTACCGGACGTAGCGTCTGGTGCAGATAGTGTAGACCCGACAGCCGCATGGCCTCATCCATCATCTTGGAGACGAGGGTGTTGCCACGGAATATGGTCGTGGGATCCGTCAGATTGGAGATCTCGTGATCAGCCAGCGCCTTGATAATTGGCGCAATACGTTCCGTGTGCGTAAAGAGACGTACCAGAGGCTGGGCCACCTCCGTTTTTCCCGACACCAGTTCGCCCAGGATGTAAACAGAGGATAAGGTGATGGGCCGCTGATCCACCGACTCCAGGAGTAAATTCAGCAAATCATCATAGGTGGCAAGCGGGAATACATGATCTGCCGTGTAGTTAAGATTCAGACGCAACGATCCAATTGTCGAGTCCACGCTGAGTCGCGTGCCAGGTGGCGTGGCGCAGGAGCGGGGCGTCGCATTCAACGAGCGGCAACTATGGGCTGTGGTGCGCGGTTGCAGGTAATACCAGGCAGCTGGCTGTACTGCCTGCTGTTGCTGCTTGTTTAGCATGGGTAGACGCACCTCGCCCAGGAACACCTTGTCCGCCATGGCTCCGTGTGCATCGTGCCACAGCGTCACGGCAATCTCACAGAGATCAGCGCCGCCCAGCGGATAAATCGCATATGCTTTATTCGCTGACGATTCAAGCGACGCAGCGGATTTGTTGCTATTTGTGGTGCCCGTGCTGCCCGCCTCCGAGTCAATGGAGAGATCGAAGTACATGACCTCATCGAACTCGGGATCGACGGTCTTTTTGCGCTGCTTGGTGCGTTTCGTGATCACCTGTTTGTTGCTGTAATAGGCCGTGCAGATGACAAACGGATCGCAGGTGCCCTGCTTCTTGGCCAGATCCACACAGGCGGGCACACGAATCGCCACGCGCACATTGCGGGCATGCACATTCTTCCAATTGGCCAGCTGATCCGTGGAGGATGCGGCCAGTTGCGCCTGCTGCTGTTGTTGCTGCTGGTGATGCACATGTCCAAACAGACCTGCCGCGCGATTCTTAAGTGTCATGCCCGCCGTGTTGCCACTGGCAGCAGCTGCAGCGGTCCGCTGGATGTTGCTCAATTCGTTGTTCTCCTTGTAGTCATTCAGATGGGCCCGCTGATGATGTGGATGATGCTGCAGCGTGTGCTGGACAAGCTCGATGCTTTCTGTTAGCAGCTGTGGCACCTCCTCGAAGGCCACCTGGATGTGCACCATGCCCTGCACCTCAGAGTCGGAGTCAACGGGCCGCAGCGAGAACCAATGATCCTTGTGGTTGTATTTGTGCAGCTCCTCGCGTTTGATCGCTATTTTGCCAATTGGCTTGTCCTGCTTCATATCCCGATCCCACACATAGACGGACAGATAGCGAAAGCGACGCGGTATTTTAAACTGATATTCCTCGCCAAAAAACGGCGACAGGGTGCGTTCACTGATGGGCGTCCGGCATATCTCCTCCTGATCCAAGGCAATGGTGCAGTACACATCTCGTGTGCCCTGCGTGCTGCAGCTTGTGTTGGCTGCATTCCGACTGCTCAAGTTCTTTGCTTCACCTACAAAAATAAAACAGAAGTAATTAATTAGAGGCACGTAAGTAAGATCATATTTAAATTTATGTAAAGCAAGGACACAAATAACTTGAACCAGCGAGTTGGTTCGAACCGTGCACCGAATAAACTTCTACTCTACTTCCTATGCAGCTATCGCCATAAAAAAGTTTTTAAAAATTGGTTATCGATAAGTTGTCAATCGATAACTTGACCTTGATAAACGTGACACCTGCAGAAATTACAAATCTGATTCGCTCTTAGATGTACTTGTGCATACACTTAACGAACTATGTGCTTAAATTTATTTATTCAACAAATCATATTTCAGCGTTTTGTCGGCTTACTTTGATGCCGCCAAAGGGCAGACCGACACCAACGTGACTTCCTGTGCGCCGATAAATTGCATTATCGATGCGCAGCCCCACCTGGTGGCAAAAGCAGCAGCAGCAGCAACAGCAACAACAATGGCCGGCGCTTGACTAGACGGCGTGTCCCTGTTTCGAGTGTTAAAAGTTAATAATAACAGTACGCGGCTGTTGTTGCCTTGATAAAGCAAGTTAATCAGGCAATGACCAGCGGGGAGTCAGCAACGTGTACTCAATGAAAAACAAGTAAGAACTATGCACTCAACTGCAGAATACTCTGTTCTTACATTATACATATTAGTCGAAAAGACTAGATTTGACGTTAGTGTTTGCAAGGCTAAACTCAAGGAACAGACTTGTAAACTATTCATTTACTTAATATCATTTTTTTTTTTTTTTTTTTCGTAGCTCAATTTTAGAGGCCAGTCTGCATTAATCCAATATACTCTTCTTTTTTACTTTGCGAACAGGGCATTCAAAATTAGCAGCAGGCAGCGGCAGTCGAGCGGAAATATAATGCGTATTCATTTGTGCATGTGTGTGCGTGCCAGGCCTCATGTAGGCATGCAAAGGCAAATGCGCAAAAATATTGTGTTGTGCGCCTCTTCTGGCTTTTTAATAGCGAGCGGAGAAGGTGGCTTTTCGGCCTTCCTATTGACACAGCTGCTTGGCTTGGGCTAGGTAAACTACTGTAATGTGTGCGCGTGTCTTTGGCATGGCAATCAATTGGGTTACACATGTACACACATACATACATATATATTTGCCTGCTGTTTGTGCTTGTGTATTAGTGAATAAATAACGCTGCTTTTACGCTCGACTCGCTTTGCTGCTGTCGCCTGCTCTCACTTTGTTGTCGTAAGAAAAATAATAAAAATAAAAAAACCAACAAATACGATTGATAACAAAAGACGACGAAGCCGACAACGTTGTTGTTGTTGTTGTTTTCGTCATCGCATTCCGTGCTTCTTTTTATGAATGGAAGCGGCTACGTAAAAACTACAAGAAAAACAAGAGGCACATTTTATATGCAAAAACAGAAACGAAGGCAGCAACAACAAAATGAAACGAAATAAAATACAAATCAAATGACAAAAATCAAAAGTGCTTTGCTCTCTTAACTCCCCGCTTACCCCTGCTCCTGTACTATTCATGTCGCTCGCTCGCTCGCTTGCTATCCCTCTCTCACCTTCACTCTCTTTCTCTCTCTGGCTTGCTCTCCTGACCGCGTAGCGCTACACGACAGACAGTCAATTTCATTCATTCATGATTCATGAATTGGCATCGCGCGCGGCCGCCGCTGTCTTTTTCACATTTTTTTTCGCAACTGTTTTTGTTGGTTGAGGGAATTCCACAGTCCCCGCCGCCAGTCAAATAAATTGCCGAATTTCATATGCTCGTATATTCTGTGACGCTTTATTTATACTAAACTCATTTATGCGAGAGATATTTTTGTCTTTTCCTTTTGCTTTCATTTATACCACATGACATATTCCATTTGGGTTTTATTCCTAATTATTTGGGGCACAGCAGGGTACGTCTATTTGTTGCACGTGGCATCACGTTAAGCAGATAACGATTTCTAAAGAATCTATAGCAATTCCGCAATTGAATTGCGAAATCAATCGTTCAATGGAATCATTTTATTCTATGAATTGAGGGTTTGGGATATTTTTATAGTCAAGCGGAAGTCTTTGCATTTCGAGGAGAAATACGCTAGTGGGAAGTATGTATATGCATAACTCAGATTAGACAATTCTTCTTGATATTAATATTATTTTTCCAAGTAACGTTCTCTATCTCTATTGCTTGAACCTAATGCCTCGAGACTTTGCCTAGGTGTGTCGGATCGAATCACTATATAATATAGCTGAGCGGCCAAAAATAAAATTATTTAATACACATCTCGAAATATTCCAGCTAAATTTGAACTTATGAGCAAAACTATATGAGAAATTGGTGGGACATAGTTTTTGAATAAGGCCCCTTCCAATATGTCTAAATTTGTTCTTTCATGTTTTTGATACCCATTCGTATGCATATAATAATATGTATAGATATACTTTGTGTTCGTCTTCTCCCACTTAAGCAAATGTAACTCCTGAATTGCCCAATAAATTCGAAAATTAAAGAGATAATTGAAAGTGAAATTGCGTATTGATAACAAGACTCAAAAAGTGCTCAAGTTAATGTCTAGTATTTTAATTTCAATCAGCTTATATGATTAGGGCGATATCTCTTTTAGCTTTTCCTCAACTTGTTCCGTTGATGGGGATCTAATAATAGCTGCCCTTATGCGTGTACCATGTGGCAACTTCTAAGGCCAGCCACACATCAAATCAGTGCACAGTGAACCCCCCCTAAAACCGAAAAAAAAAAAACAACTTTGACATTTGCCCATGGAGTGTGCCCGTCAATGTCATTCAGGCAGGCAAAGAAAATTACGACACGATTCGTGCCGCAAGAGAATAAAGTGTGTCTATAGATAGATGTGTTTGGATAAATGTAAAAAAGGCCCGCCCGCCATTTAGGCCTCGTGTTTCAACAGACTCATTAAATGCTTTCAATTTCCAGGTCCCCGAAATGGCAAAGGAAAATTAAATTTAAAGACTTTGCAAGTAGATTTCATTCTTATGCCGCCAACATCTCTTCTGTGATTTTCCTGCTTGCCTGTCCGCCCGCCCGTGTGTTTTCCATTTTCTGTTTTTCTTTTCTTTTTTTTTTTTTGCACAATATGCAAATTGATTCAGTGCAGCATGAAACGCCCGCGAATTAATGAGGCGATTACTTCAAGAGCACTGACGAAAAAAAGAGAAATACTCGCGGCAAAAGAAAAATGAGTCAATGTGAGGGGGGATCTGTGCTTCGAAGTATGCGGAGGAGGCGCAGTCTACGAAATTCTAAAAACCAAGAAAAACAGGAAAGAACAGCTATCTCTGGTATGCCGAAGATTAAATACCCTTGCAACGCTTGGATTTCTCATATGAAAGGTGTTTAAAAAATATGTCAAAAGAATAGTAGAGTAAAGAGGATAAAGTAGTCCGATATTGATAAGATTCTGATCATATATAAGATACATATTGAGGCATTCAAAGGTTTGTCAAACAAAAACTTATCATTCGACCGATTCAATTATTGTATTCATTAGCTTATTCAAACTATATGGTCTAGTAGTTCAATATTGAAAAGATTATTAGGGAGGGAGTCTTTCACGGATGTTATTGGCCGTATATAATAATGTAGCCAAATGACAATTTATTAATTAAATTTAAGCAGCGAGTATGGAGCATCCAGTAAAAATTGCTGTCAAATCGTTTAGACAACCCAAGTGTCTAATTCTCAACGTGACTTTAACAGCTCGGCAATTGGAGCAAAATAAAGGTATAAAATCGTATAATAGTTTAGATAAAAAGGTTGTAATACCCTTTGCAAGGGTATGCAAAAGAAAAAAGGCAGCGAAACTTTTATGCAAAAGAAACGGAAATAGAGATAAATTCTCTCGCACTGTATATATGTGTGTATGTAAATATATATATATATATATATATATATATATATATATTTTGTTCGCGCTGCCGCGTCAGCGGATGAGAGATTTACAGACAGACCAAAGACGTCGACATCGCCATCGACGTGGTGATGATGATGATGATGTCTGGGTCTCTGGCCGTTTGTCTAAACGTCAGCTTCCTGTCGAGCAAAGATTACTTGCACTTTATGCAGATTTGAGCCAAAGGTGTACGCCCTCAGAGCAGCACATGTACAGATAGATGAAGGTATGAAGGTATGTATCTAAGTGTGTGCGAGTGTGTGTGTGTGTGTGTGTTGCCAGCTTCTTGTTAATTCTTTGCAACTCATTTACAATATCATTGCACACTTCAGCTGCATTCATTTCCCTGGGCTGTGAACAACTTCCTTTTTCCGTTAACCACTTCCTTTTGGTCAAATTGAAGCATATAAAAAGGGTTCCCACTCCAATATAATTGGGCCCAAAGGAAGTAACTGGTTAGTTAGCGAGCAATCCAGTTTACCAAATGCAATGCCATTTTCATTTGATGCACTCGCAAGTATTGAAGAAATGCGCCACATTTTAATCATTTACAGAAAAACATTCCCGCCTGACTCTTCCCGGCCACACTCTCCTCCATGTCTGCGTCTGCGTCTTCGTCTTTCCCATCTGTTGCGCCTCTGCCTGTTGCCGCTGTACGTGCCGATCGATTTCCGGTCTGATTACGTTTCTCATCCACATGCTCATCTTCTCGGCTGCCTGACTGCCTGTTTGTCTGTTGTTTGGCTTCTGCTCGCGTGTTTATAGCTTTTCATTAGCGTCATCGAATCGATCGTTCGTTGATGGCCGCTTTGGCTTTGCTTTTATCAGGCACTTTGTTTCGCTTGCTACGTTTGCAACCAGACCTTGACAGGGGATCTTACTGCCAGCTATCTGGCAACCCTCTCTATCCATCCTAGGCTGACTTTAAGGGTTTGTAGAAGAAAGCGGCCAACGCTTCGCAGAATTTAACCCCAACAAAAATATCTCAACCTTTTTTAACTACTAATATAAGAAGCTCGTAAGATGTAATTTTAAGGCTGTTAACACGCTCATGCTTAGAAGAAACAACATTCTTATTACCTTAGGTG